CTCTTCCGGTCGTTTCTCCTGCGGCGTCCCCGTACTCCGGGCCCCAAAGCCTCCCCGTTTGTTGTTTCCGGTCTGTTTCGTGGCTTTGGGCCCATCTCCCCCAACGGTTCAGTGGGAGGGCCTGCGGCTTCCTCAGGACGGGGCCCGCCCGGCTACTCGCCCCACGGACCTCGCAGTCTCACAGGCCGGGCCACCCCGGGCCAGAATGGAAGTAACTCCCGGCTCCTTAGTTTTACTCTCCTAGGTCCAGATAGGTAATTTTGTGTCTTAGATGTGGTGTTGGAAGGCCAGAACCTTCCGGTTCTTTCCCCAGGCCGTGTCTAAGCTCTACCGTCTTCGTTGCTTTAACTCGCCTCGGATTGTTTCCAGCCCCCGCTAGCTCGGTAGACTGTGCCCCCACGGCATGTTGGTCAGAGCTGGGGGAAATAGGAAACCACGTGGTCTTGGAATATTTGTGTTTTTCTGTACGGTTTCGTTCTGTAGGTACTAAAGAATTAAGAGTTATGCAGGCATTTCTTTAATCCCTTACCAACTAAACTAGGATTTAAAATAAAAACACGGAGCAAGAAGTTCAGCCCAGGTCGTTGCCTTAGGGAAGGTGTCTGGGCAGAATCGGAAATACTATCATTTTTCACCTTCAGGCTGTTGATTGTTACAGTTGCAGGCGACCCATCTTAACTTAACCCGTGTATTCAAACAGAAGACTTAAAGTGTGTTCCTGAGCCAAACAATTTTTGAATGGTCTCTTGCTCCTTTTGTTAACTGTGGAGATTGGTCATTAAACATTTACGATTCAGTGTTGAATCACTTAAATATTTTTCATAAGTTAGAAGTCTAAAGTAAACTTCAGGGACACTTCTGCTTCCCTGCCAACTTTAATTCAGCCTTGCTTTCTTTCTGCCTTCATAGTTCTCCTTTCTCCAGTAATTTCCTGTAACTTGAGGAACCAAGATAATCTGTGATTATCCAGACTTAACGTAATTAAACAAAGACTATGATGAGTTTTCAAAGCACACCTTTCATTTTACTTTTTCATTTTGTTTTAGGAACTCTTTGTTCAGTATCTAGCCACCTATTCCTACAGACATGGCAGTGGAAAAGAAAAGAAAGCACTCACTTACAGTGATCTATCAAATACTGCAGAGGAGTCGGAAACTTTCCAGTTTCTTGCAGGTACTTAGCCTTTGAAACAGCCTGAAACAGTTAAAAAGTGCTTAGTAATTTACAACCTTTTTCCCCTGCTCTTTTTCTCCTTTCACTGAAATAGACATTTTGCTGCTTTCCCCAGGTGCCAAAGTTTACCATGACGTGGCATGGGATTTTTAGTTTTGTCTATTTGAGTAGGTTTGTAATGTGGTTCACCTAGAGTGAGAATTAAGTCAGCAACGATGCACAAGGGTGGCTGGGGGAGCCTGGCAGGCCCCCTTCTTAGACTCCTTACTTGGCCAAAACAGGAACGAAGAGTTGCTGTTGTGGAACAAGCTGTGTGCACCACAGTCAAAAGAGCTTAAGGTGATCTGCAGGTCTGGTGGGTTGGGCAGGGCTGCTCCCAGGAGGTAGCAGCACAGAGAAGCATGTGGTTTGCAGTCAGTGGAACAGGAACAGGTCTTTAGCATCAGTCAGGAGGCAGTGCTAGTCTCCTGCTATTTCACCAAGAAGTGTCGTCTGAATTTTGTCTTGTTTGGAACCTGTTTGAGGTCAAAGCAGGAACTGGCACATTCTGAAATTTGCATCGCCGTATTCATGGCCTCCCATAACCAGCTGCTGATGTTAGCTTTATGTTTTTAAGATATATTACCAAAGAAGATTTTAGCTAGTAAATATCTGAAAATGCTTAAAGAGAAGAGGGAAGACGACGAGGAGGAGGAGAAGGATGAGAGTGACGCTGACGAAGCAGAATCCTAAACCCAAGGAAGTGCTTTCAAGATCAGCCTGGAAGGAGCTCCTGGATTAGCACCGTTGCTCTGAAGGGAGCATGACGCTGGGCAGCTTTTGTCTCTCCACTTCTCAGAGCCTTTGAGCACACTGTGTTCTTTCCCGGCAGAGAGAGAGCACACTACCTCTGCCACAAATAGCCAGGAGGAGAGTAACCCGGACAACAGGCGCTCTCGGACAGGCCTCTGCAGCTGGAGCTGGAGGGACCGAGGCACCAGCAGCCTGTAGCTGTGAGCGGTGGAGGCAGAGACACCTTTGCTTAACTTTTTAGTTTACAGGTAGATTTTGAAGAGCTTCTAAATACCAGTTGTATAAATTCACATGTGTATTCTGAAATTGGTTCCTGTAAACAGCTAGACGCTGTTTTAGCTAAATATGTAGCCTGTGGGCAGCACGTTGACGTTTGCATTTTCGTATTTCAAGAAAATTTCCTTGGCTTTGTATTTGTCCAGATACTGCGTTTTTTTAACTGTAAAGAAATAAAATTGTCTTTTTTTATTGACAGCTTTACATATCTTTACAGTAAAGTGTTTTTTGGAAATAATTTTAAAACATCTATTATTCTAATGGTCTGCTTGTTATCTGAGATGTGACATTTAAAAATAAGCATTTTCTAATACCTTAACTCCTGGAGAAGAATTTTGAGTCAAACTATTACATCAAATTCAGGTAAGAAATCTTACCATGTGTTTAAAAAAATTTAAAAACATTTTGTATACTGAAGAACTCTCATTTTACTGTTCTTTATACCCGTAGAAATTTTTACTGTCCACAAGAGAAAACCATAAGTCCTGTTTTTTTTCACGTATGGTACATTTTTGGCTTGTCTTTTCTGTTGTTTTTTTTTTTTAAACTGAGTTCTAGTTTTCATTTAGTAAAATCATCCTTAAATGTCCACGCTGTTGGTTCTAAAGCAGTCGATACACAGAACAGTTCTATCACTCCTTATACTCCCCTGGACCCTTGTGGAGTTCACTCCTTCTCTTACCCCCAGGCAATCACTGATGTTTTCTGTCCTTTTAAAACAAAATAGTTTGAAGTCCCCCTTTTGGTTTACAGTTCTGAGTTTTGACAAGTGCAGAGTCATATACCCAGTACTACAGTTAAGATGCAACAGCTCTGTCACGTCCCCCAAATCCCTCAGGGTCGGATTCACTCCTGCCCTCTCCCTTGGCAACCCACTGAAGTAGCTATTCTCTGCTCCCATAGCAGGAGTCAGCACACTTCTTCTGGAAAGGGCCGTATGGAAAATAAGTTTTGTGAGCTATATAGTCTGTCACAACTAGTCAGCACTGCTGTTGCAGCACAGAGGCTGCCATGGCACAGAAAGGGATGCGTGCGGCTGTACTTCAGTAAGCCTTTTATTTCTGCACACTGCAATTTAAATTTTGTATGATTTTCATGGGTCATGAAATCTGATTTTTCTTCAACCATTTGAGAATGTGAAAGCTATTCTTAGCTTATAGGCCACACAAAAACACAGCAGGCCAGACCTGACCCACAGTCCGTGGTTTGCCCGCCCATCTTTCCAGAGCGCCATACAAATGGAACCATAGTATGTAGCCTTTGCATGACTCGAGGCCTAGCACGGTGCCTCTGAGTCCCATCCATGTTGTTGCAGGGAGCGGCAGCCCATTCCTTTCCGTTGCTGAGTGGGTTCCGCTGTACAGATACACCATCTGTTCATCCATGCCACAGTGAATGGGTAATTCCCGGCTTGGGTTGTTTCCGGTTTTGATGGTTTCACTTGAAGCCCTATAAGCACTTGGTACAGGTTTTGTGTGAATGTAGGATTTCATTTCACTTCAGTGGAACCATGTTATTTTCAGTCTATAGGAAACCACCAAGCTGTTTTCTAGTGTCTGTACCGTCCTGCAGTCCCACCAACAGCGAGCAAGAGCTTCATTTGCTCTACATCTTCTGCAAAACTATCAGTTTTTAAAAAAAATTTAGCCATATTAGCAGGTGTAGGTTTTCATTTGTTGCCCTAATGACATGTGACATTCAACATCTTTTCATTTGCTTATTTGCATCCATATATTTTCTTTGGTGAACTGTCCAACTCTTTTGCCCATCTCTTTATGGCTTTTCTTTTTATCGAGTTTTGGGAGTTCTATGAGTACAAGTCCTTTGCTAGATTGATTTGCAGTTATTTCCTTCCTGCCTGTGGCTTGTCTTTCCATTCTCTCAAAAGCACTGTTAAAAGAATAGAAATTATGTTTTTGAAAAATTCTTTTAATTTTGAAGAGGTCCAGTTTATCAGTTTTTTTCCTTTGGTGATCATGCTTTTCTTGTATGTAAAAACTTGTCACCAAACCCAAAGTCACAAAGGTCTTTTCCTGTGTCAGTGTAAGTGCTGTGCGTTGCTTTCAATCTCTGTGCCTACAGTAATGTGGTGCTGTGTAATCCCCGGGGAAAATACTAGCTGATTTTTGTGTGTAACCAGCTGAAACATCCTTAACCTAACCATAACTGCATAAACACCTCAGATCCGACTGGGGAGCGTTCATCCTTGGCCCCTCCTTGAGCCACAGGCTAGTCAACCACAGTAGCTTCCTAACTGGTTTCCTCACCACCTTTACAGCCTCTCTCCTCTTCACGGATCACCACGCACGCTGCTATCAGATCATCAGAACAGTTTTATGAATGTTAATCTTAGTTTCCTGGTCAGAAGTAGCCACGGGGGCTGAGCCTCTTCTGTGTACACCATGCTCATTTTCATCTAATCCTCACAACTTACAAAGTAGCCACACTTTATGAAGAAGGGAATTAAAGCTCAGGTTAAGGAACTGGTCCAAGACACCGCTAGGAAGTGGTGGAACTATGATTCAAATTCCAGACTCCACTCTTCACGGGAACTTACAGAAGCGCACCTTCTCCCCACCATCTATGGGAAGACAAATTCCTAACCTGGCAGCCAAAGCCCTTGACACGGATCTTACTCTGCTTTACGTTCTGTTTTCCTGCAGGAACCTTCCATTCCTGCTGAGATAGGCTCCGTCTTCTACAGAAAAGAAAGTTCCCTTGTACCCCTCTGATCAAGGAACTAGTTCTTTTCTGAAATCTTCCTAATTCATGTAACATCATCATACACTGTTTTTATACTCAGGTTTTCCCAATTAGATGGCCTGCTTCTGGCTGTTCAGGAAGTGATAGGGAACAGGGGAAGACTGTATTTACTGAGTAAGGGTAACATAGTCTCTCATCAGTTGGTGTGTATTCTTCAGCTAGCACGTCCCAGGGCCCGTGGGCTCAAAGGTGCTTTGTAGTTTTGGATACCAAGAAGAAGAAAGAAGCACAGGGTCCTGGACACATTAAGGAGAACAAAACAAAACGACTTGATTTTTTAGAGGAAAAAAAGACTGAAACAAAATACACCAGTGTTAAGAGAAATTACCTATCAGTGTTGTGATTACAGATTAACTAAAAATTTCTATCTTGTATATCTGAATTTTCATATTTTCTATAATGAACATATATTCTTAAAAATCAGGAAATGGCTTTAAATGAGAACAAAACTTTGGACTGCTTTAACAAGAATAATCCTATAGACTTTCAGCCGTTTCTGGATTTTTCTAAATCCAACCCTCCTTTCCCAGCACCGCAGTCTTTCAGTACAGATAGAATCAGACACAGTCCAGAGGGAGTCAACCAGGGCAGAGGGTGTCAAGTGACCCACCAGGCCAGAAGCCCCAGATGTGGCCAGCTGTGATTCCTGCACAGTGTGGAGCACAGGGCTTCGCACTTGGTTGGGGTTTAACTGAATGACTTTGTGCTTCATCCTTTTTCATGGCTGCTAGAGGGAGGACACCCTACTCACACTAAACACCACATTTGTTCTTCAATCCAGTTCACCCCTGAAGTTTTCACCCCCAAGCCCCCAGTTCTCAGGGCTAATGCCTAGCTGTGTTGAGGACACTGTTCACAGAAGAGGCCCAACGTGTAGCATGAGACTCTAGACTCCTGACTGAAGGCAGACTTCCACCTTGGAAGCCTGGCACCTTAACCTGTGCAGAAGGAAATGCCCAAATAAACGTGAGTAACTGAAGATCTTTGGGAGAGGCAGCTGTAAATACGAGGAATTTTATTTAACTTTTTGCTGACATACTATGAGGCAAAACAAAATTGACACCATACAAAATAACTTTATAAAATATCATTCACATCATAGTTTATCAGATTTACAGCATTCTGTGCATGTTAAGGGTTATGTAAGGAGGTGAAAAAACACTATGCCAAACTTTTAGTATTAGTTTACATACCCACAATAAGAAAACAAGTAACTGTTAGGTTTTCCATGAATTTATTGCAAAAATAGTGCAAACTACTTAACCTAGTAAGCTGTAAAACAAACTCAAAAGGACCCAGCTAAGTTTAAACACGACAATAGATGCTCAGTGTCTCAGCCTTTAGCTTTCTTCACCAGTTTATCTTCGTCAGTCAAGCCCACTCCCCGCCTGTTCAGTTCAGGGCGAGCGCTGGGGAAGAGAGGTGCGGAGACTGGCTCGTCTGAGAGGCCAGGCCAAGCCGGCTGCCTAGCGCCAGCAATGCCTTTAGGATCATGCTACTTACTCAAGGGCGATTTTGTGAGGTCTGTGTTGAAAACGTTTGGATGCTGTGATGTTTCAGTCTGACCTTAGAAATAAGTTATCCAACCTCTTGATGATATGGAGAAAAGAATTAAGAAAGCAGCATGAACAGAAAGGACTGGGAACATTATTGTCTGCTTATCAACATGGCATCCTTTTTCATGGATGTATTTGGGTAAAGCATTAATCTACTGGTGGGCAACCTTTGAACCAGATATTGCAGAAAGTTTAAAAAAAAAAGGATACTGTATCCCTACAAGAGTAACTTTTAAGATTTCTTTCAACAGTTTATTGGGGTCCAAACAGCATGTATCTAAACAAAATGCTAAGAGCAGAACAAAATGCTACCTATAAAAGCTAAAGAAACAAAATGCAGCATATTCAGGTTCTTTTTCTTGAGGTACCTATATAAATTTAATCACCTGCCCCAAAGCACTCTTGATAGGTAAAAAAAAAAAAACGCTTCCTGGTGAGCCAATCGTAGGGCATTTATTATTATTAGAGAAAGTGCAACAAGGCTGATCTCCATATGCAGCATACGAAAGGATGATTTACTCTTTACAGAATATAGCTTAAGAATCGACCTGATGGAAGTTTAAAAATTAAAAACCCCTAAAGTATCATCCTTTTTTTTTTTTTTTAAGATCCTGCAGCAAAAAGCCTCCCAAATCAACTTTCAAAGTTTTGCCACTAAGGAATGTTGGTTCTCTTGTAAAATCCAGAGATCTCTTTAAAATAGTAAAACTATACACTACAGGAAAGATCCCTAATTTTTATTTCTTATTGGTATAAAATCAAATTCTTAAGACTCCAAAATATTGTGTTACCTCCAAAGAATTAAGTTAAAAAAGATCGCCATAGTAGGAAAAGTCTAGAATTGTAAACTGCCAAATATAAAAGCATGGAAAGTCATCCATCTCCTACCTTATTTTCTCACCTGCCAGAAAGCTTTCCTAACTTCCAGAACCACCAGGGCTGCTGCTGAATGCAGGCCCCCCCCCCCCCGCAGGCTCCCCCTCCCTCTGTCGATGGCGCTCAACACCCCACCAGGAAGCCGGGGAGACAAAAGCCACAAGTCCTCTCGCTGCTTATGAAACAAACATCAAACGCCAGAGGAAGGGGTGGGGCACTCACGGTGAAAACACCAATGACAAGTGTGTCTGTGAGTATGTTTTAGCCGCCCCTTCACTGGCACAAAAGATGAAGTGATAGCTACAAACATGTGCATAGAAGAGTTTGGAATCTGTTTGTGAAATGCTGAATTTGCTCTTGGACGTTTTTTCCTTTCCCGAGAGGGCAGCTGGGACTCCAATATGCGTTAGTAGCTGGCGGGGTGATTTCTCAAGTTCCAGGGCCAACTGGGCTCTTTCTCCCCGTCTGCAACATGAAATACTTAATTTCATAGGGACTTTTCTCAATGCATTAGGATTCAACACAAAAGGCACAAAATAAATACATTATTATTAAATAAACAGAAATTATGATTTCAAGCTTCATGTGGAGTTATATCTCGCTGTTTCATTACTTTTTCCAATTTAATTTGACAGATTTAGTAAATAGCACCCAACTGTTTAACTGAGGTAGATCCACATTGTAAAGAAAGCTGGGTCCCCTCCATTTTATGTCTAAATTTAAGATGCTTTTACAAAAACAAAAGTCCATGTAATCATCTGCAGAAGCAATGGCAGGTGGCAGGTGGCACTACCTGAAGGAAGCTTAGAACATGAGCAGGCTTGCAAAGAAGATTTACGCCCAAATCATACTCTCCATCAGCCATAAAGAAATCTCAGACTGGAGGGGGAAAATCAAACATTTAAAAATAACCCTGAAAAAGTCTCAAGATTTTCAGAACAGGTCTTTCTGGCTGACTGCCACAGAAATGTACAATGGTCCATTTTCATCAGGCAATGGCAACAGCCAGCCAGACCCGAGAGAGAGAGAGAGAGAGAGAGAGAGAGAGAGACACAGAGAGAGAGACAGAGAGACAGAGAGAGAGAGAGAGAGGAGGAGAGGAGGAGGAGGAGGAGGAGAGAGAGAGAAAGAGAGAGAGAGAGAGAGAGGGAGAGAGTGGGAGAGAGGGAGAGAGAGAGAAAGGTGTCTGTGTCACTGAAAGAGAGAGAGAAAGAGGTGTCTGTTGTCACTGAAAGTTTCCCTTTGTAACTCCGAAGGAAAGACTTGTTGAATTATGATATAGCATCTTGATCTGAACAGTTTTAACTCATTCTGCCTAGTATTTTTGCATACTCTGAAACTTACAAATTTAACATCTGATTAAGGCTTAATTTAAAGTGGCATTACCACCTAGCATCATGCAAGCACTGGACATCCTTAAAACACACAGAATGGTATTAAACTAAAGACAAGGACAGGAAGCCTCAGAATCGTATTTAGCAGGTACTAGAATTTTATAATTAATTTTACAATTCATGTAGCAAACGAAAAGTCATACAGAGAGGCCAATGTCTATAAATACTAGTTTATACAGGAACTGCCAGTTTACACAACAGCACCGCACGGTTTCCATATTGCAAGCACAAGACATTGTCACAAGACCCACCGCACAGGTGAAGGAGTCTGCAGACGGCACGCAGAGTACCACCTGAAATGAGGCCCTTGGAGCTGCTCAGCTTTTTAGAAAATAGTAAACTTTAAATGGTTAGAATACATTTTGATTCAAAATGTCTTCTAAAATTTTCTTGTGTGGGGGGGAATTACGAAGGGGCAAGATCTACCTATGGAACATTTGAATTCATTTTTGGTTTTTTTCAATTATTTTATAAAAATAAAATAAAACTAGAAAAGTTGATAAAACTCAGGGTTGAAACCCCTCAATACATATTAGGTAAGCAATCTGAAGTGTACCAGAGGTAAGAAAAATCTGGATTTAGACACTACATTCTTTTCTTGTATTTAATGAGTAATTAGCCACTTTGCTGCACAGAAACTTACAATTATTCCCTTAAAACTTTTTAAAAAGTAAAAACTCACTTGCCTCTACAGTTACAAAACATGAATTTATACCTTCAACAACTACATTTAAAATCCACTATCAAACTCAGGAGTCAGATTTCAGTTTAGTGCTAAACTACAGACATCCAGGATCTCAGTCCTGTGTACATTTGGCTTTGAAGGAAGGACCAAAATCGTTACTCTCCAGCCTGCCTGTGGCCAGTGTCTCTGTGCAGCCCCGTCGGAATGGAGGGCTGGGGAGAGGGCGGTGCCTGGAGCAGCCACCAACAAGGCTTTTCTATACACTTTAAAGTAAATAATGTTGGGTTATTTTCCCCACTTAAAACCAGTAAGATCATCCACTGAGAGGGAAGGAGGGTTTAATCAGATCATCAGCCAAGAAAACTGCTTGGTTCCTGTTTTGAAAAAGTCAGAGCTAAAAGCTGCGCTTTAGACACCTTGGAACTGGCTCTAGGTGACACCATGCCCAAGGGAGCAGTTTCCCCGCACATCACAAAACAGCCACAGTGAGGAGAAGCACTCCGCCATGACAGACGGAGGGCTGAAATAGCACCTTCATCTAGGACTTCACATGCATTCTATAAAGACATGATTCCAATTCCAATTCATCTCTTAAAAAATCTAGTGCCACTAAATACTCACGCCAGGTGATCATGAGCACAAGGTTCGTGGTCTGACCGAGAGGTGGGCCCTGCCCTGCCTTCCTGAAGCCCCAGCAGCTCCGGGCCAGGGGAGTTAGGCAGCTGAGACCCAGAGCCTTCCAGCCAGAGATAACGTGCTGGCCTCACAGTTTACAATGCTGGGAGCCAAGGAGCAGAAGCAGCTTCAAAGGCGGGGGGTGTCAGGGACTGACTGTGGAACAGAACAGGCTTCCTTCCCAGTAAAAACGCAGCCCCATCGTGATGCTGAAGGACCCCCAGGACCCGACTGGAAGGCACAGAGGCTGAGCTTGGGTCTCTGGGCACACTCAGTCCGGCACCGACGGGGACCGGAGGAGGCCTGGGCGCCAACTGTTTCTTAGGTCAGAGGGCCAGCAGTCCCACCCTGGGGATTGTCCCTACCATAGCCAGAGATCAAAGGAGCCTCGGGCCCCTCACTAGCATCGAGCTCTGCCAGGCGGTGCCACGCAGCCCGGACTCGTGGTGTGGGGCGCAACTGCGATCAACTCGGGATGCAGGTGCCGACAGTACTGATGGGACTGGCCTCCACAAGGAGCTCCTGGAGATGGGGAGGGGAGGGGAGGGGAGAAAAGCCAGTATTTGGTGTGCCAGCTTTAACTCTGAACTACTGAAATCCAAGGAGTTTGTACATAGGAGAAAATTCAGCCTCTTCGAACTGCCTGAAGAAGGCGTCAGGGCCCGTCAGCCCCCCTGCCGCCCACCAAGGGCACTGAAAGACCTACCACACCTCAGTTTCTCACATCGACCAGTAAGACAGCGAAGTGTTCACAAAAGCACCAGTAACCTTCAGTTTCCTCACCTTTAATGATCTTGCAGGAACACAAAGACAGTGGCGGAGGCCCACCTCGTGCATACAACAGGCTGACGGGCAGACCTGAGCTCAGCGGTTCACATTGCTGGAGAGGAGGTGGCCACGTGCAGCGCCCCCCGGAAAACCCTGTATGGGATTCTGGCTGGAAACGAACTGCTTCAGAGACCCCAGTAGCCCTGGGAGCAGTCAGCAGATGCTGGGGGCGCCTGCATCTGCACAACAGCGTGACCGCAGAACGACACATTTTTAGAAAAACTGCAAAGGACACTAAGCACTTTTGGGACTAAACCACTCCACGCAGCATGAAAACAACAGCGTTAAAGGCAATGACTTCCATGTACGGTGCAACTGGAACCTCGCTGGGACAAAGTCAAGGTTGGCTGAGCATCTGGAGGGGAGCAAAGCTGCCAGGGCACACCCAGGTGTCTGCAAGTGCAACGCTGCTCACCTGCCCCTCAAGAACTCAGAAGCAACCAGTGCAGGTGATTTTGCAGCAGACACTCACCTTGTGACGACAAGAGAACACATGGAACCTAAGGAAAGACGTGGAGGAGGCAGAGGGTGAGCCTGACCGGCCCACAGCAGCGTGCGGGCAAAGGACATTCCTGACAGCAAAGTGGTTAATCACACGTGAGACAACCCCCCGCCAGGACAGATGCCCAGCACGCAGGCAGAGGGCACGCCTACTTCGAGACGCCGCCGTGGACCCTGTGCTCCTTTCAAACCAAGGGCCTTGGATTGGAACAGAACATTCTGCTTTCAAATCTTATCGTTTTAAAGTACGGAGTGACAGTAACTCAAAGCTCCCAAGTCAAGGGCACTGACGTCTGCCCTGCATCTGAAACCACGCAGTACTGTAAGGGCACTGTCTGCGTGGGAGTCGGCGTGCAAGCACCTTCGTGATTTTACAGAGCGCACGAAAATGGAGGAGAGAGTGGAGGGAGCCACCTTCAACCCTTTCAAAAGGAAAGCAGAAAAAAAAATGCCTTCTTACGTCAAACAGGAAAGTAAGAAGCCAGGAGGACTGCGGGTCATTTCCAGGTTTCGCCGTACAAGGCCTCACACCTGAGGTCGGCGCAGAAATGGCCCCCGGCTCCAGTCCCGCTGGCACTGAGAGTCCTAGACTCTCGGAGCTGGGCAGCCCAGAGGAGTCCCTGGTCTGGTCCTGACACACATTGGGGAGGGGACTGCCCGTGGGTCACAGTATGGCACACAAATGGTCAAGCCAGAACCGAACAGAGAGATGCTCACAATTCAGTTTATTCAGGCAACATTTTGGCTGTTTGCAGGGTGGACAGCTACGCTTAAAAGCATGAGTCTATTGAGAATTCAGAGGTAGCCTTTATCTGCATTTTTTTTAACTAAAAGGTATTTAATAACCACCTTCTGTAGTGATATGGCTAAGCCAATACATTCACTTTAGACAATAAAACGGCAAAACATCCAAAAAAGCGTTAAGTGAGGGCACCGAGAATGGCATGGACGTGACATATAATACATACTCAGATGACTGGTTTGGGTTTAAGAGGTCCCAGCAGCCCGACCACAAACAGAATTAGACGCTGTGGGCTGGAGCAACGCTTCTAGTCTGGCAAATCACAGGGCACAAAGGAACAGCACTGGATTTCAGGCCTGCCCAGCACCTCTGGGTTAAGCCACAAACGACGGTTCTGACACAACAGTGACCTCATGGCTTTGAGATGACGGCGGAGCAAAGAGAAGGGAGGCCCTGACTCTTGGGAAATGTGGCCCTTCAGATGCTTCCCCTCCGAGCTGTCAAATGCTGGATGGAGCCGGAGGCAAACGCTTTAAGGAGTCACGGCAAATGACAAGGAATTAAACAGAGCAAAAGGGTTTAGAGTTAATCCTCTTAGAATTAAGTCTTCAGACCGCAAGGAGAGGGCATCCTCTCCTTCCAACAGACTGCAAACTCCCCTCCAGGACGAGAAGACAACGAGGCCAGCTTGTCCTTCATCAGCGGTCACAGGCACACGGCTGGGGGGAGGGGGGGCAGAAGTCAGTCCACACAGCGCTAGCACATAATACTGAAAAATGGGGCAATACCACTAAAACAAAGCAATGGGGCGTATTCACATCATTTCTGCTATCCTAAGTCTATTTACAATCATTTCAAACAAGTACAGCAGATGCAAAGTCGGACATAATAAAAAGGAAGTTGTCAAAAAATCAGTGCAATTATTTTGAGTTGAAATTTTTCCTTACAAAAAGAGTCAGCATGTGTGTGTAACACGGACAGCCCCATGACAAAGTCACATGAGCGTTACGTCTACACTGAAAACGTCACAGCAGCCGAAACTGCTGGCACGGCAGCTGGAGAGAACATTCTGGGTTACTCTGGGGAAGGGCTGAAAATACAAATAGAACAGTTGCATTCTGAAAGTGAGGCGCGTGGACGTTGAGGAAGTTTCTGTTTACTGTACATTCCTTTTCTCGGGAGCGCGAGAGGTGAGTTAGAGAGAGGTCACAGGGGAAAACTTCTATGGCTTGTCTGGGCCACTGGGATTGTCCACTGTCTGGATCGTGTCAACTTCTAAAGCTCCTCCCAATGGAGCTGCCTTAGGTGCAGGAAATGCCCAGGAAAAGTCCTTCAACTGTCCAGCAGGTCCAAGTCCCGCTGCAGGACGCATCCCGATGCCGACGGCTCCGGAAGCCGGCCAAGGGCTTCCGCGACGGGGCGTGGCCGAGAGCAGCCGGCCCGGCCTCCTCGAGACAGTCTGCGGCCCCAGCTGCTCAGTGCGTGGCTGGTCTGCCCTTAACGCGTTGTATCAAATATATAATCTGACTGGAAAACTGCCTTGTAAAAATAAAATTTAAATCACCCTGCAGCTCAGTGTGAAGTTACACTGCTGCACGTGTAAGAAAAACAACTCACCCCGAGAAACCGCATTTGCGGCTTTCAAAAATAAATCATCCAGCAAACCTGAAGGGAAACAAACATCAGGTAATTTATAAAAGTTGGGGAAAGTAATTTCTATCATCTCCATCAGGTACCACATGCACTGGACTATCCACACCAGCTAAATCAAACCAGAGCAGAAAGGAAAAATAAATAGCGACATCTCCATTTACAACAATAAAAACAACACACAACACACCAGCGACACCCACCCCCCAAAAACCCTGCTGTAGGAACTGAACTTCAACTGTCTCTTCTAGTGAGCACTCGCGGCACAATCGTCAGGGACAGCGCCAGGCATGGCCGCCCGCGAACGGCGTGGGGATCACTCCAGCACCGACAGCCCCTCCGGGTGGGCCAGGCCGGGCCGTGGTTCACAGGCATTCACTCACGGGAGAGTGAGACCACGACCAGAAGCCAAGTGTATATGTTTCTCTCAAAACAGAAAACCAAAACCAAAATAAAGCCACCCCTTTCTGCAAGTACAGGGATGCCCAGCTTTACACGATCTACGTGAACGAGGAAGTCTGAGCTTGTGATCAGAACACAAGGAGCAGGGCGACCCCCCACCTGGGGCGTCTCATCACCGAGCTACTTGCCAAGAGCTTGGCCAATGGAACAGACAGTGCGGAAGGGACCGGAAGACGTTAACTTTTCTTACAGTGAATGTTTTAAAATACACCAGGGAGAGTCCCAGGATAAGAACTGAATTGGGAGGCCTCTTACAAAGAGATGAGATAAATCCCAGTTTTTCTTTTAAATGAATCCAGCTTTTCTACATCATAATCTTCACATTCAGTTTGCTTAATTAAAGCAAGGCACACCTTACTTAACAGTGGGGTGGGGCAAAGCCAGCAAGCGGAGGCCCCTGAAATCGGCGAGGCCCCACACGGGCCTCAGGAAACCCGCCAAACACAGGCAGAGGCCGACGTCCCTGGGCCCCTCTCAGGCCGGCCACGTGGTCACCAGGCCGCCCTGGGCACAACACAATCAGAATGGGCAGGGTCCCCTTTGGCTTCCAGATGGACAGGGCTTGGAACTACTCTGCTGCACTCTGAGGTTTAATGCTGTCTCAAAATTTATCCTAATAATGGGGGGATTGGTAGAAATCTAGGAAAACAATTATTTACCTGAGAAACTGTAATTACAGCCATTTGAATTCTGACCATCAGACACGTATGAGGGTGTGCAGCCAACCCTGCTGGAGACGTTTGGTTTATTAACGTTTTTAAGTAGGAAAAGCTTTACAAAACAAGCAGAGGGCTGTAAGATGTACCTTTCTCAAAGTACTTCGGCCCACTAGAAAGAAAACTTTCCTTCAAACTGATTTTTAAAAAAATTTTGGTCTAATTTCCAGCCAGCCCAAGATCCACCCCAGGGTGTGAGGTTAGAAAACCTCTCCCTGAACTGCCGGGGAGCCCCCACCCCGGGGCCTCCAGAAGCCGCCAGGTTGGAGCTGCTCAGCCCCGGAGCTCCCACTGACAGGCAGCCCCAGGCCTGGAGCGTCTGCGCAGGGAGGGCCGCAGGGGCGCTGCCTTTTCACCACCACTGCGCCGACGACCAAGATCCTCCTGCAAATGGCAGAAACACCCCTCTGAGACACACAGTTCTAGATGGTCCTAAATGGCTGAAAATTAACCTAATTTCAGATTTTAAAAGTTTATTAGTGAAAAGAGTCCCCCCTTAGCTTGAATGTTCCTGGTAATTTACGCCAAGAGTGCACTGGGATCATTCTGAACGGGAGAAAGTGCCACTTGCTAATAAAACAACAGGGAATTGCAACATTTTTTAGAGCAGAGGCTTCTGTCATTTAAAAAGACAAAAAATAAAAAGATACAGCAAGAAGAGACTAATGCCATTAATGTGACACCCACATGTGCGCACGCGCACACACACACACACACGCACACACTACTCTGAGTATATATCTTCACAAGTCATAGTCATCCCTTTGTCGCTGCCACCAAAGTCCAGGCTGAGCACCCACTACAGCTCTACCCGCGCCCCTCGGAGCCTCACACACAGCACTGGGCGCCAGAGGTCAACGGCAGGCCAGAAAGGGGGGCCGTCAGCAGGGCCCAAGGTGGCCTGCAGAGCACAAAGCAGCACTAGGGAAAGGCTCGTCTCCTTGCTCGAATCTCTGTATTGAATGCGATTTGATTCTTAATAAAACTGCCTACGAGGATGAGAAACCCACCGAGCACCAATGGCGCTCCGCTGCTCCCCCGGCGAGCTGTCCACGGTGTCACTCTTAGTGCAATGGTTTCTAGATTGGCAAACCCACGTCCAGGGCCCAGGACGCAAATCCTAGCAGAAGGGTCTGCCTCTCCTGCTGGCTTCGCCCTCAGCCGTCCTCCCGGGGGCAGGGCTCCGTCGCTGATTGCCAGCCTCGCATCCAGCAGAGCGCCAGCACCGCCGGCCGCCTGTGTGCCTCAGTGCACAGATCCTATGACGCCTGTCTAACAGACCACGCGCAGAGAAGTGCACCGGGACACACCAACTCGTTCCCAGGAATGGAAGAAGAAACGCTTTCCACTTGTGCTTGATCGGCTGAGCAACCCACGGGATGCGGAGGAGGGAAGGGGGGTGACTGCTGGGGGCACACCCGGCCCTCCCGAGGGTCCAGTCTGCACTGAGGGGGCAGGCCGCGGTCACATTTAGTCAATTGCATACTCCTGTACTTAAGCACTGAGAACCACAAGAGGTGGTCCAGTCTCCAGGCTCCGAAACACTCTTGATATGCTGAACAGATCACAAGAAGCACCCCGTAGTCGATAAAATGAAAAACAGCTTCTATCTATCACATTAATACTGCAAACCAGATATATATATTTTTTCTCTTACATTAAAGACAAAACAGTGAAAAAGGATTGTACTGTATTTATCACCACAGACCCGTATTCTTTAGAAACTTTGGAAAATAAATGTCACAGTCCTATAGGACAAATCTTATGATTAGACTGTCGGCATATTGTCTTTTTTCTTCTTTTTTTAAATAAACTGTTATTAAAACGGCACTTGCCTGCCAATCCCTCTGGACCTGTAACTGTTGTGAACACACGCGGCCCATCCCCTGCCACGGCGCCTTCCTGGGAGCTGAGGGAAAAGCAGGCAATGGCAGAACGAGAGACCGCGGGCGCCTCAGCCCGGCCCCGCCTGGGGTCCTGCAGGGCTGGCGCCAGTCACGTCAGGAGTGCACTGGCGTCACTCTGCAATAAGCCCTACTGACGACATCAGAATGGTCAAGGCTTTAAAACCACGTTGTGTGCTGTGTTGCTTCCACTCTCAGAACGTTCACAGCTAGTTTGAGTCCATCAATTTCATACAGGATCATGTGTTAAAAACAAGTAAGTTGAGTGACCAAATAAATTAAAAATGTTTTAAAGCCCTGAGTTCATAGACTGGTTTTAGGAGATTTTTAGGAAACACGGGACTCTATTTTAATAAGCAGCTCATAGATTTTGGCAAACCACATTTCCTGCGACAGTGGGGTCTCATACAGGTCTGCAGCTCAAAACCCAAGTCTGAGATCTGGGACGGAAGGCATTCTGGAAAACGGAGAATCTGCTAAATCACTGACGTCTCGTGTTCAGTGCTGGCTGTCACGCTAGGGCTGGGCGTTTGTTGGTCTGAGTGTAGCTGGTCTCGTGTGAATCCACCTCGGTACACAATCGTAAACACTAAAACATGTCAAGCAAAGTACATGGTGCGCAGTGTGTCCTGATGAACCTGGACAGCCTTTGCCAAGGCCTGATGGTCTCGTCCGTTACTCTGCCCGGAGGTATGGCTTCCTTCAGCACTGCGGGGATGGGGGACAGAGAGAGAGAGTGCAGCCTTTAAAGCACCATGAGACAGGGCGCTGACAGCTAAGTTAGGGCTAGGCCCCGACATCTGGGGAGGCAGCCACACAGCTAGCAAGTGATGGCGAAGATGCTGGCATTTGGGTGTCTGGGTCACAGCCATCTCCAGCTACTGGGACCATGCTGCTTCCCATTCTGGAAAAGCAGAAATGACCCTTGCCATGACCACCAGCCAGGAAAGGCAGGACACTCACCTATCATGTTCTTTATCCACCAGGTGGTACCTGGCCCGGAAGGCCACCAGGTGAGCGTAGTAGGCTGGCGCCGGGATGGACACGGAGCGTGTGCAGCGCACATAGGTGTGACACAGCTGGTAGGTGAGGATCTGCAGCTCATCGGAAGAGAAACGATTGTCATCCCAAAGCACGTGATAGTGGGAAGGCCTGCTTGTTCCCTAAAAGCAGATCAGAGTCAGAGGTGAGCACGCAGGAGAGAAGTTCAGGATGTGCCCGCCAAAGGGCGCTGCTGAGACGGGACGCGCTACAGCCGCACAGCAGAGCCCGCGGACGCGTTGCAGAAGACACGGCGGGAGGGTGTTCAACGACAGAAAGATGCGTGTGTTACCTTGTTACGCGTTATTATAAAAAGGCATCAGACTTTTATACTTGGACCCCCGTTTGTAAAATACAGGCCACACACACGTACTTATGTACAGAGAATCGCAGGAAAGATGTGAAACACAGAAACGGCTGTTTTGAGGACAGTATCTGTGTATACCAAGACTCCTACACTGTTTTATTCATAAAGGCAAGAGAGCAGTCTCTGGCAAGGTACAAAGTAACAATGATGCTTTTTAGATGAGACTTTGAACGTTATTATTTTATGCATTTGGAACCTTTTGAAACTGAAGGAAGTGGGAGGTGATCACCTGGCCCACCCGCTGGCCGAGTGTGGCCCTGGTGCTGTCCTGGTCACTGCACCTGGGGGCCGAGGTCCCCAGAGTGCTGGTCCTACAAGAGCCGCTCTGGTGGTAGTAGTGTGGTGGGGGTCCTTTTTCTGGCTTCGACCCACCTGCCTCCCCTGCCACTCAACCCCAGCCAGGGGCCTCCGTGACTCCTGCCGCCGGAGTCACCGCTGCACGGCAGACACCCTTGTCCTCTGACTGACCACCGCACACATCCCAGTACCACTTCTCGCACTTAAATGACAGCTGTCACAGGGCCTGGGGCAACAGGTGTTCTGTATAAGAGGGTCTGCACAGGGCCCGCTGAGTCCACTTTGTCACATCACTTAAATATCTCCACAGTGGGGCTCTCCCCCTTTAGAAGGGGCCTGGACAGAAAACGTAGGGAGAAAGGTTTGTCCCGTAAACAAACCAGAGGCTCCTGAGGGCAAGGGCCCCACCCACCAGCAGGGAAGCCAGGAAGAAGACTGGCGGAGGCACGTGTGGCCCGGACGGAAGAGGCGCCAGCCCAGACGCAGAAGCCGTCGCCCGACAGACGCGCCGGGACACGTGGCGAGCACTGTGCTCTCTAAGCCACGTCCTTTTCTTTTCAACGATGCTTTAAAGATGTAAGAGCCATTTTCAGCCCTTGGCTCCACCCCAGCAGGCTGCAGGCTGGATGTGGCCCACAGGCCAGTTTGCTAAGCCCTGTTCCAGCTCCACGGTGATGTGAACTGTGTGGACGTTTGAGCACTTCCCATAGGACATTAAAGGACACAGTTCAAAGTGAATTCTCAGGCTTTAGGTTCAAATCCTTTGGGGAGAGATATTTACATCCTTACTTCAAAAAATACAAAAGCCCCTCTGCAACGAAGCAGGATGGGTGCCCAGAATTAAGCTCCTCCTTCACAGACGCTGGTGTCCCTGCTCTGACAGCAGACCTGGCTGCACGGGGCACTTCTGAGGGGGCCACTCTCCCCTAAAATCACTCTTGGCAAGCTGTGGATCTCTTCACCAAGACGAACAAGAAGAGCCTTGAGGGGACGACAAGTCACCTGGCGACCTCCCCCAGATACCAGCAAGCCCGCCCCGTCACCCCTCAGACCTCACCAGGCTCCAGGCACCCGGAGACGCCCCTTGTCCCCACTAGTGTGCTGGCCTTCCACCCAGACCTCATCTCAGCTAAAGGGGGACCCCCCACCACAGCACCCCAGTGGGTGCTTCGTCCCTAACACCTGACGGTCCTAAGCCCCATCTGCTCCCCAGTTAACTGCCAGCTCTCCCTTGGGGTGGGCGGGAGCCGCACCCGTGCTGCCCACCACCACATCCCCGGTGTCTGCCAGAGCCCAGGCACGAGGTTTGTGCTCTGCACGTGTTTGCTCAATGTGTTGATGACAGCGCAGAGACACCAAGACGCTGCCCAAAGGGGACGCTCTGTCCTTACCTGGATGCCGGCATGACTACACAGGTAGAAGTCAAACTCGGTCGGGTGGGTGATTTTGGTGTCCACGGTGGTGCCTGCTGGAATGTTTCCGCTTTTCCCAACCTTTAGCAACACAGGAACCCATTAGTCATGCCCAGGGGACGACGAAGGTAAGCTAGCAAGCAGACAAGACTCGGCCACGCTGCCTCAGGCCAGGCCTTCCTGGCCAAAGCCGCCCTACTCTTAAGTCTTTAAATTGGCCAATACATGTGCTCAGTGTTATAGAATTAAAATAAAATTTAACATAGTAACAACTGCAATTAAATGAATTCCTGTTGTATCTGGGCTGGGGTTATTTTTTGCTACGTCTCATAACGACCCATGAGGAAACGCACTGTCTTCACTGAAGAATCTGTGTGGGACACCTAAAGGGTTTTTGTTCTTGCTGAGGCCAAGATGCAAACTGTCACCAACATCAAATCTAAGACCAGACGATGGACACGTGACAAGCCGTCATCCAGGCGCACACACAATACTCAAGGCAGAAGAGCTAGAACACCCTGACAGCGCTGGGGGGGGGGCAGGCTGCTCCCTGGAGACCATCCACACGCCCCCAGGAAGGAGCCGGGGTGTGGGAGGGGACTGCAAATTCTACCAGACTACTTAACTCCCAGTTTACATGCTGGCATTGAAAAACCACCAAACGGAGGGAGGGTGCAGCTCAGTGGCAGAGCACGCGCTCAGCATGCACGGGGTCCTGGGTTCAACCCTCAGTCCCTCCATTAAAAAAATATATATATATAAAAAAAGAAAAGAAAGAAAAGCCACTGCATATCCAGCTATTGCTCCTGAACAGCAAAACCCCAGTCGGTCACTAAGTCGCTGACGGGTTTTTCAGCTGTGCAACACTGCAAATGTACATACAAAAAAGAATCCCCAGTGTAACCTCCCTGCACCTTCACCTGGGTTCTGATTTTTCCTTCTTGCCAACTGTTTTTTTACACCCTCAGATTTCTAAAAGAAGTGAAGTATTTGAAAAGAGTGCCCACCTTCGTATCCTCCCTATCCCGGTCTCCAGTGTGGACCCTGCTATTCCCCCACACACCTCCAGTTCTCACTCCGTATTTAAGTCTCCAGCGGCGTTACACTGTTACGCTGAGATTTTTAAACTGTATACGTGTAGCATGTATATTTTGCTACTTGCAGTTTTGTTCCATATTATAATTTTGAGATGTATTCATTTGGTAGACATAGTTTATTACTTTTCATTGCTGTATAAATGGCAATTCATAAAAACATCGCAACCTTTCCTCCTGTTAGCAAACAGATTTTCTGCTATTAGAAACAACGTGCCATAATATCATATGTCTCCTTGTTTACAGTGTGTGGGTTTCTCCAGGGTAGATCTATAGAATTGCCAAAATGTGTTCCAAGTTGGTCATTCGCTTTGTACATCAGAAGTGCATGAGAATCCTCTTCATGAAAATGTATTTACTCTGGGCTAAGTGCTCTGCGTGTTAGCCCAGCTAACTCTCCTGACACCCTTAGGAAGGCGGTACAGAGAGCAGAGCAGCTGACGGCTTGAGGTCATGCAGCCTAGATGCCAAGGGTCTGGGCCAGAGTCAGGGTTTCTAGCTCCAGACCCTGTGCCTGACCACAGCACCCACATCTTTGACAATGTTGGTATTATCAGGCTAACCACCATAATGTGATTTCCCCGGACTTTTCTCATTCTCTGAAATACTCTGTACAATAGTATTCTTTGAAGGTTTGGTAACACTTGCCTATAAAAATCTCTAGATTAACTTCATAAAAAAAGCTAATTCGTTTTGCCCTTTTTCCTACTCTCTGCCACACATTAAGATGATCTATTTTTGAAGATTTGGTAAAGCTTGCCTGTAAAACTCTCTGGGCCTGATGCCTTTCGGAACAATGATTGGATTATCCTCTTCAGCTGATTTTGGTAATTTATGCGATTCTACAAACAAGAGTTTGTCTCCATTTCTTCTGGGTTCTCCAGTGTGTTGTCATGAAGCTGTGCCGTTCCACATGATACAAACAACATGCACGCCCTCTGCAGCTTCAGTTCCCTGTTTGCTCCTAACATCATTAGAAGTGTCCTCTTTTTTTGCTGAGTCTTGCTAAGTTTATCTCTCTTCAAAGAAGTAGGTTTTGCTTGTGTTAATCTGCTCGTTGCTTCTTCACTTTCTGCTTCACTGTTTTCTATTCTGGGAGGAAAGTGGGTGCAGGACTAAGCTGACTCTGAGCCCTCCTCACTCCTGGCAAGGGAGGTTTGCAGGCCGAGGAGGAAGGGAGCAGACACCCACCGGCTCAGCTTCCCTTGACCCCTGGAACTGACATCCTTCTTGTCTGATTTGATGGTTCTCTTCCTCCTTTCACAACAAATGCATCTATGTCTGAAATCTCATCTCTAAGTGCTGCTTTAGCTGCACTGCACAAGGTTTGATATGAAATTCTAATTTTTGCTCAGTTCTGATCAAATTTCATAATTTTTATTCTTACATTTTAAATGCTTATGCTGCTTAGAATCAAATTAAAAATTTTAAGTTTTCCTATGCTTTTCTCTATTGTTGATTTAAAGTTGTATAACAATCAAAAAATGTGGTTTGTATAATACTGCGGTTTGGAAATTGCCTAAAACCTCCTTTAGGACCTGGGACAAGGTCAACCCACACAGCCTTCAGAGTGAGCTCCACTGTCACAGGCAGGCTCTGTCTAACTGTGAGATCTGGCAAATTCATTGCACTTTGTTTCCAGTTTTTACTAATCTGCGCTTATTACAGTTTCTGATAGTGATGTGTTAAAACAGACCTCTTTTAGATGGTGAGTTTGTTGATTTCTCCTTGAAATTGTCCGTTTTTGCTCTACATTTTTTCCCCTTTATATATTTGTAGGTCACGGTGTTAGGTACACCAAGCTCAAAGCTGTCTCTTCTCGGTGGATGTTTCTGTGACTGTGACAGAATATCCCCTTTCCTCACTGCCGACTCTCAATTTGCATTGTCCTCCACCTGGACAAGAAGCATGCTCGGTGCTGTGGTACCGCTGCGGCATGGGCGGGCTGCACTGCTGGACTTTCCTTGGGCACCACCTGCACACTGAGCCCTGACCTCCGGCCCTGCTCTGCTGGCGGTCAGTCTGCCGTGATGGCTTTCCCTTCTGGGAAGACTCTTTCCTTAAGCACCTACCTTGATGCTGAGCAGTTTAAGGGCAATGTGACTAGTGTGAATTTTTATTTATCCTGCCGGGAACATGAAAAGGCTTTTAACGCGAGGATTCCTGTCTTTCTCCAGCTGTGGAGAAGTCTCCACATTCCGTCTATTGGTCTTGTGTCTCCTGCATGCTCGGGGTTCTTGTTCCGGACACCCAGGTAGCAGAGGAGGAGCTTGGACCCTGCCATCTTTCAACACCAGACCAGACCCCGAAAGGAGCTCCCCAGGCCCCTTCTGGCATTGCCACCCCACTGCGGGCCCCCAGTCCATTCCATTCCACTGCATTCTTCACGCTGCACTGTCTACCACCACAGCTGCTAACTGGCTCTGAAGCCCCCTCTTAGGCCATTTCCTTATTGGATAAATGATGACTGCCTGGACCTACCCTAGACCTGCGGGTTGACAGGTTCAAACTCTTCGCCAAACTCCAATGCCTCAGCTGGGTCCCCAAGAAGGGCTGGGTCTCCCAAGAGCCGGGGACAACAGTGTCGCCACAGGGCAGGCTGCACAGAGACCTGTGCCCCCAGGACCCACAGCCCAGGGCCGGGTGCCACACGGCCACCCTCTCAGCCACAGACACTCACCCGCTCATTCTTGTCGGTGCAGAAGAGCCGTGTGTGATGCCTCTTCTGGACCACGATGAACGTGATCCCTGGCTGGTAGTCCTTCTCCAGCTTAATGCATGCCTCGCGGATTGCCAGTAGCTCGTGGTGAAGAACCTAAGGGAAGAAGGGAGAACACGCTTGAGGACCCTTATGTCTGGGGGCCTCTTGCTGCCTCAGAACCTTCCCTTAAGGATATGGACATGTGATAAACACATAAGTCAAGACTTGCAGGCCCGCCGGCGTGTTGTTAGCTCTGTGACTCTGCCTCTCAGAGCCCATTTCTTCACTCATGTGATGGAGCAGATGACACCCAGACTTCACGGTTAAATGGTTTAAGTTAGATGATGCATAAACAGGCTTAGCATGGTCTCTGGAACATTCCAAGGGCCATCACACACAGTGGGTGCGAGGCACTGTGGGTAACACACGTGAGCAAATCAACCCAACTTACTCTCGGGATTGGAGAAGAGGGAGAATCCAGCAGAAAAAGCACTGAATTAGGAGCTGGGCCTGAGCCGAAATCCGGCTCTTCCTCTGAGTAACTGTGGGGCTTTGGAAAAGCCGTGTACCCTCTCTGATCCCCAGTTTCATCAGTTTTAAATTGGGAACATCCCACCCTGAGAGTCCGCCGTGAAGACTAAGGTCACGTGCAACGCAGGAGGCACGGCGGCACCAGGAGTCAGGGCACGGGACGGGGGGACGCCCTGGACTCTCCCCGTCTGTCATCAGAGACGCAGGCAAACAGCCTGCCATGGGGCGAGAAAGGCTGTCCCGGGGCCACACGCTTAGGGTTTCAGCGACTGTCCTAATTAAAACTGTGCTCTGATGTCTCAGAAGTATGTCTTTGGTTCCCGTCCTGAAAGCCCCCCGTGAAGGTTCTGTAGGGCACGGGGCGCGTTCACAGCAGCAACGGCAGACGAGGACACACCTGTCTCCCCTGCAAGAACCATGTGGCAGCAGCTCGCAGGGCGCTCGCACGGGGGAGGGCGCTCCCTGGCGGAGGGAACCCAGGCCTTGGATGAGAGGTGCCTCAAGGGAGGCTGGCACACACTGGATCTGGACCCGTGGGCGGCCACCAGCCCAGGTTCCCGCAGAAGCTGCGCATCAGAGGCCCCGGCCAGGAGCCACCTGACGGTCAAGGCACATCGGGGCCGTTCTCGCCACTGTGGGCCTCAGGGGGATGAGCGGCTGCTTTCTCCAGGAAGGCACTGGTATCCCTGTCTTGTTACCTGCCATCCCCCATTTATCAAGGCAGCCTGGGCCTCTGGACACATGGGGGCCGCTCTCAGGACATCCTCCCCTGTGGGCGGACCTCCTGCGGCATCAGGTGTGGGCCCCACACCTTACTTCTGCCTTCCCTGCTAGTATCTCCCGATGAAGCGTGTGCTGGGGACATGGGGACGGCATTAGCCCTGACCAACACGGACACGCTCAGGGCAGCAATCTCCTGAGGTCCGGGCTGAGATGGATTCACTGCTGCCTGCGGTCACCTTGACCCACAGGTGCTGCAGGTGCTTTCAACCAGAGCCCAGCAACAAGCCCCAACCCTGTCCTCGCCGGCCCCTCCTCCAGTGCCCCCGCGTCCCTGAGGCTCCCTGGCCTTCCAGACATCTGCCCAAGGCCATGCCCCACAGGTCACCCAACACTGCCACTGCCTCCACATCCAGGGGCTGGGTCCTGTTGACTCTACTTCTAAAAGGGCTCCCAGCAACCCTCTTCCTGGGCCAGGCCACAGTTCCACTTCGCACACTCCCCGGCTCCAGCACACCCCCACCGCACACAGAGGTCACCTCCAGCCACAACAGTGGACCTGCCCTGCAGAGATGCCCACAGCCTAGGAGGTGATGCCCGGACCTGGAAGGGCCCTGGTTGGTATGCCGTGCCACGGAGTCAGCTTGGACAAGCCTCTCCCTGGACGGCAGTCAGATCCAGGCCCACCCACCCCCCGACCTTTTCCCCTGACCAGACCACCCTGTGCCCCCTTTCCCTCTCGGCCCACCTTCCACACTGTGACCACATACAGGGGCAGAGCGTAAACCATACCACTGACTTCGTCAGTGAACCCGAGATGCTGCTCTGTGGACAAACGGGTGAACTTACGACACAGAAGGGGCAGAGAAGGGGTGGCTGACCTGCTGGAACTGCCCCTCCGAGACGCCGTCGCGGTAGAAGATGATGCGGGTGGGCTTGAAGCGCGTGGACTTGTAGAACTGGATGAGCAGCTCGCGCACCATGGCAGCCAGGTCCTGGATGATCTCCTGCCGGTGCTGCTGGACCCGCACAGTGGCGCAGTAGCGATTGGGGTGTGCGTCCATGCTGCCCACGACCTGCGGGGCGACACACACGCATCAGGCCCCACAGCCAGCCGCTGGGGTGCATGCCGGAGAGGGGGCGGGCGGGTGGGCAGCTCACACAGTGTGAACCCACTATGTCTGCACTGCTTCTGAGCACATGGCAACAGTGTTTATAAATGAACTCTCAACAAGTCTGCCCAAGGCACCTAACAAAAAATCGACAATTATTTTGAACCCCTATTCTGTTTATAATCAGATGTGGCTGAATTACATCTGCCAAGAGAAGGCACCTGGTGACAGTGACAGCGTTTCTGATTTTTTCAGTTCTACTGTTTTCCCAAAGTCACGTGCATACCAGCGCACAACACACCAAGACTCTGACCTCAGGAATGGTTAGTGTCCCAAAGGCACGCTGGCACAAAAGCAGTTGTCTGCAGGGACCAAGCGGAGGGCGGCAGGAAGCGAGACTGCCGGGGTCGTGGCCACGCCACGCCGCCCGGACGCACTGCTTCGCTGACCAACAAGGAAAGGGCCAGGAGCTCGCAGGTGCTGTGCGTGCAGGTGGTACAGCTGCCCCTTGAACCACACAGGTCTGAGCTGCACCAGGCCTCTCCTAGGCACCTTCTCTCAGCTTCCCTGACCTGCAGGTGCTTGAATCTGCAGATGCGGGCGGGGTCTTAGACACGGAAGGCTGACTAAGTTATATGCAGATTTTCTACTGCGCAGGGGTCAGTGTTGTTCAAGGGTCAACTTGGATTTGGCACTTGGACTGTTAGGCCACGTAGGAGGAATTACACTACGCGATGCTGACCTGATGGGGGAGGCTCGGCCCCTGAATAACATGCACCTAAGCCGGGGGCCCAGGGCTGCCCTCTTGGAAGCTTGTACCTGGGGTCTGGCCTCCCTGCACAGTGGTCAGGTGCATCTCGGGATGCAAAGCTCCCCAGAGAAGCACTAGGCTGCCCAGGAGTGTGTTTCGGGTTCCTTGCCTGAGACCCTGCAGGGACACGTGTGCCTGCGGCTGCTCTGAAGAGTCGCTGTGACAGAGAGGCACCTGGGACCCGATGGGCACGGCAGCCCCATCGCCTGCACGGCACGGGAAGGACACCCGCTTAGAAGCCAAGCCCGAGCCTCAGGCAGGTTCAGCTGGGTTTTCCGCTGTTTCTCTCACGCAGCTGAGCTCAGTCTTTCTGAACTTCCCCTTGTGTGAAACGGGGAAACCAACACTGACCTCGTAAGGCTGAGACAATACAGTTACGCACCTACACGGTGCCTGGCACGTAGCAGGTGCTCAGCTGGCAGGGAGTGAGGCAAGGGACAGATGAGCTTCCCAGGTGGCTCCAGACAGTCGACGGCGACCTCGCTGTCGCTCTGCAGTCCCACAGGGACGCGCAGCCTCGTGCCTGGTGCCCTGGGGATCCCGTCAGGGACGGCTCGGGGGACGCATGGAGGCCTCTGCCCCCGCTGTCCGAGTTCGCGCGTCGGCCCTCTTGAACAAAAGGCCGTGGCTACGTCTGTGCTGTCCCCTCCCAAGAACAGTCTGAGGCTCGGCTCAGGCCCCGAGGGAAGGGGACGGCGAGCCAGGCGCTCAGCACCGTGACTGCGAAACGACACCCCACCGGGTGAAACTCACCAAATGAGAGTAAGGGCAAGGTCTGCATTTAACTCTACACTGTCGACAGTTACTTCACGTTTAGCACTGACACACAAGCTGGAAAACACTCACGACGAGGTGCAGCCTGCCTGCATAAAACCTGTCGCAGCATCTGGCCCAGCGGAACATGGAGCCACCAGGTGCTCCCTGAGCTGCGGGTGAGGCCCTGCAGGACGAGAGCCACCTCACGCAGGCCTGTCGTGCTGACAGACCCATCAGGGTTGGAGCATCCGGGCAGCGCTCACCCAAACAATCGCACAGCTTCTCAGGAAGGGCTCACGCCGTCTGGAATATCCGCCTCAAAAACCTACTTTCCATGAGACTCCGATTTCAACAACTGCAGTTCAGTAAACCTGAGTGCTCTTTAGGGAGAAACTCTGGCCCCATGGCTGCGAAGGGACGCCAGGCCCAGACAGGGTAGGACGGCACCCACAGACGGCCCAGCAGGAGGCGCGGACACTCACGGCAGCGATGGAAGGCTTCTTCCCGTCCCCGGCGGGGGGTGAGTGACATCCGCCCCCAGAAAGATGACTGGCTGCTGGAACACTGGAGGCCTGCGTGCAGAGAGAAGCAGGGCGTTAGAGGCCGAGTGCAGGGACACGGCCTGCACCTTCTAATCCTGGCACTGTTCCTTTCAGTGCTGAGAGCGCTGCGGCTATGTCTTTAAAGAGTCCTCACCTTTTAACCACACATACAGAAAACCTCATGGGTAAAATGACGCACAGCCTGAGACCTGCTTCAGAATAACCCGGGGTCGGGGGTATAGGTGGAGTGTGGATGAAGCGAGACTGGTCACTCTGTTGGCCAAGGGACTGTCCTGGGCAGTGACCAGCGTTCAGCAGCATCCTTGTCCTCTACCCCCTAGATGCCAGTAGCACCCCTAAATCCTGACACCCCAGAATGTCTCCAGACACGGCCACACCATCTCTGGGGGGCAAAACCACCCAGCTGGGGAGCCTCTCTCCCAGTGGTGGTGTTTCTGAAGAGCCAGCTGGCAGCCGGGATTCAGGCTGCGCGTCCTGGAGCTGCTGCCTCTGCCTCACTTTCCTCTCCTGAAAACCCGAGACAGTAACAGTGCTCACCCTCAGGGTGGTCACGAGGACTCAGCGTCCCATGCTTCCAGGGGGCCTGGCCCAGCACGCACACCAGGAGCCGCTAACTCAGCGCCACCGGCACTGCCCTTCTTAGTTGGTAGCAAAGAGCGTGGGGTCACCAGCTGACGCCGCAGGAGACGGCTTCAGTGGGAGAGGGGTCCCAGCGGGACTCCCACTGGACAGTGCCTCACAGGGTGTGATCAAACCCCCACCAGCCCCCGACTCTTGCTGAGGAATGCCCGCCCCAGGGGAGCTGGTGCGAGGAAAAGGGGGGCGTGTCAAGCCTGCACACCATGTGCTGGTTCCCACAAAATGTGGACATCAGGGAGCTGTGGCTCTCCCTTCCAAAGCCCAGAACCTGGGGCCCCTGGACACCCTCACGTTGCCGCCGGCAGTAGCACCATGTGCACAGAGGGAGCCGGGCTTGGAGGAGACACAGCCCAAGACTGCGTCCTACCAGCTGCGCTCTTTGAACCCCGGTGCCCCCTACCCTGCCCCACCCGGTCCCTACTCTCCCCTGAAGGCCAGGAAGTGCAGCAGCAGGAGGAGGCAGCCCAGGCCCCCAGCACATGCCCCTCACCCCGCAGCTCTCACCTGCTGCCCGCCTCCCCCACCGCCACTATCCCCAAACACCCCCACACACAGTTATGACGCACACCTTACACCAGCACAGCCGCACCTGCCTTTGGACTCCATGCTCCTCCCAGAGCCCCTCGCTTCCCTTGTGGCAAAGTTCCCGGAATTAGCTGAACCCATTTACTGCCTGCCAACCAGGGTTCGCACTGCCATGGCAATGAGACCCCTCTCTGCAAAGTCCCCAACAACCTGCACGCGTCCCCCAGCCCAGGGCTGACCTCAGACCTCATCACGTTTGGCTGTCTGCACCACGTGACAGCACGCACTGTGTCTGGGGTCCGGGACCCAGCTCGCACCCCCAAGCCCACCCTCAGGCTCCAGGCCTGCTGGCTCTCACCAGGGCCAAAGACTCCCACAGCCCTCCCGTCTGCACCCTGCCCTGGGGGTTCTCACCAGCCTGGAGGCTTTACACGCCACCTCCACATGAGGATCCCTAAGCAAACGCCACCACACCAGACCCCACTCCTCCCTGGGAGGCTGACGCTGTTGCCTAACTCTAGCTTCCTCACCCGGAACTCGGCCTTGTATCTCCCCTCTCACCCTTGATCCTCTTCTTCCACTCAGACCAAACCCAATGTGTCCTCAAGCCCCAGGGCTCCGTCTGCAAAACATCCAACATCTCTGGGCACCCCGGCCCACCCCCGCCACCTGCACTTCTCCCGGGATGACGCAGGAGCGCCCGGTCCCCACTACGTGCACGGCTGCAGCTGCCTTTGTGGCAAGGTCAGGTGGAGTTCAGCCTCCACTTGTGAGCCTCCAACAGCTGCAACCCGGCCAGAGGGAGCACCCTCTGCCTCTCAGGCCCTCTTAGACCCACTCCCACACCCCCGGCAGGATCCTGCCCCAGGGCCCTCGCACACCCTGGGCCTCCAGAGTGCTCCCCTCCCAGGGTCCCCCCAGCGCCTGCAGTCTGCTTAGTGCCACACTCCCCGCGAGGGCCTCACCCTTCTGAGCGTCGGTCCCTTTCGCCGTGTCACTCCTGTGCCCCTGAGAAGTCACATGCCCTGTACTTACAGATCCCCTTGCCTGGGCCCCTCCGCCAGAGGGCTAGGACTCTGTCCCTGTGCCCACTGCTGTGCCTGGCTCCCAGCCCTCAGCAGGCAACCAACACAGAATTTGCTCTGAACGAACGGTTCACCACCAGCCCCGGAGAGGCCTCTCTTCCTCCCACGAACTGCGTCCAATGACCCCTCATCGCAGAGCCAGGATCCAAGCGCAAGCCTGGCAGACTCCAAATTTGGGTTTTCCTGCTCGACCACCTGCTTCCTGACAAGTTCAGCAGACTCTCTGCAGTTAACAGTGAGACTCAGCCCTCACAGCGTGGCCCTGGCCAGCAGCACCAACAGCACCTGGCAACTTGTTCAGCCCGCGAGCAGCTGGGTCTGATCCACACGAGCTGGTGAGAACCTCGGTGGTCCGCTCCCAGAGGCAGGTGGGGGACTCAGACACTCGCCCTTGTGTGCAGGCTCCAGACCCCAGGGAGGGCTGGAGGGCTGGGCGTAGTGGGCGCCCATCGGCGCCTCTTTTCCCAGCCAGCGGAAGCAGCACCAGCGGCCTGTCACCTCCCAGGTTCCACTTCTGCTCGAAGACAGTTAGATTCATTGAAGGGGGAGCCTGTCAAGCCACCTGACTGCCATCTCTAATGTCTCACTCTAGCAATGACGTTTCTCCAGCAATACCTCGTGGAGGACACCTGTTCTCCTGCCGGCCCCAGAGGCTGGGACCTCTGAGCTGAGCCCTGCCCAAGTGTCTGGGACAGCGTGCCTGGCCAGAGGGCCGTGAGGACCCCACAGCTCCAGGGCACAGACTCAGCCACAGCCTGGGGCTCAACCCCGTCTGCTCGTCCGCGCAACGGTCAGCTTGGCTTGGCGAGTGGAGAGCGGTCATCCGGTCCACACAGAGCTGGCTCCCTGCTCTGCCTGCTCACTGGCCACATGCCAGACCCTCAGCCTGGGATGGGGTAAGAAGTCCCTTCTGCTTGGGCCCCTGTGCTCTCCTGGGAACACGGCCAGGGCACTCAGTGGCCCACAGATGGCCGTGGGCCCCTAGACTGTGAGCAGCCGGGACTGGAGTCTTATCTCCTTCATCTGTTGTGTCCAGGCCGGAGGTGGACACAGGGGAGCCGCCGCCGCCCCTGGGCCCTCCCCTGGGAACCACGTGCCAGCTGCCCAACCCGTGGCGGAGGGGCCGGCCTCACCTCCCCTGTGGCAGCAGGATGTTGTTCACGCCTCCCAGTTTGACGTTGATCTTCAAGCAGAGGTTGGACAGGGTCTGTGGTGTGGTCCTCTGCACATTCTTCATCTGCACACACTGCGTGGCCATCCCCAGCACTGTGTCTCCCACACGCTTGACCTCGGCTGTGGAGCGGAAGAGTTTGCTAAGACTGCTCCTGATGGCCCCCCCACTGCCCCCTAGCCCCGCATGCAGCCGAACCTATGGAAGGGGGGACCGGCGGGGAGGGAGGGCAGAGTCTGGGCTCCACTCCGCCCCGCCCTGCCCACGCCTGTGCTGCCTGTGGGGCTGCCACCCTTGCTTGCCAGGGAGGCCGGGCGAGTGCAGCTCTTGCTCAGGCCTGCAGGGCGGTGCGGGAAGGGCCAGGCTGGAGCCCAGGGTTTGTCCCTCGGAACTCTGCCCTCCACTGAGGTGCTCAGGATGGCAAGCACATGCTCCAGGAGTTAAAAATATAACACTGGCATCCTTGGCAAATGCAAACCTGACATCAAAGAGCTGTGTGAGCCCACACCCCCTCTCCGGCTGGATTCTTTCACGAAGCAGCTGCTCAGGGCTCCCTGAGCGGCCGGCAGAGACAGGTGCCTCCAGAAGAAGAGGGTGGGGCCACAAGGGCTCTTTCCCCTCTTGTGGACGTGCGGCTCGGAAGGCTGTCCGCGGAACCCGGTGGGCGGTACAAACCGCATCCCCCTCTCCCGCTGCCTCGGAGGCCCCACGCACTACAGCTTCTCATCCAGATGCCCCCGCCCCGGGAGCCTCTGCGTGCCCACGGGGCTGCCAACAGATGCACACAGCACCTGCCTCCCTGTCCGGTCATCACCGTCCACGGGGTCTCCCCCGAATGAGGACTGTCTCATCTATCTTTGTGTTTTCCAGGGCCTGGGACTTGACCACAGGAGTTTGGTAACTTTTAGCTGAGTGAATGTGCAACCAGCCTCCTGGCAGAAAGCACTCTGCTGAACTTTCAGAGGATTCTGATGCCGCCCAGCTCACAAGTGGAGGAGTCGGCCCCAGAGGCTGACTCCCCGAGGATGGCATCCGGCCGATGTCTGTGTTGGCGGATGGACGAGGGAATTGCTCAAGTGCTGAGCTCTGTGCTGCCCCAGGTGCCGGCTGCCTCACAAGACCAACAAGGGCAGCCCTGGGCATGAGCGCAGCACCAATCAGAAACCTCCTGGCCTTTCCCAGCTCCCAAGTGGGCCAGAAACAGGCACCTCCTCGGTGCAGCAAAGACGCCAAGGGCTCCAGCTGCATCCAGCACCCTGGGGCTGACGGTGCGGCCAGGCCTACCGTAGACGGGCGTCTTGCCAGGCAGGATGACCACCACCAGCTGCAGGCCGGCGTACGTGTTCTTCAGGTGCCGGAACATGGGCTCCACGCTATCGGCCCCCTGGGCGTATTTACAGAAGCACGGCTGGCCCTGGATGGGCATGCCCGCGTCCCTCGAGATCTTTCTGAGCTGCTCTGTGAAGGACCTGAAGGAGAATGTTCGTCACGTAAGTCCTGTGCGCACCAAGGGCTCACACCAGGCAGGGGCCCAAGGAAGGGCCCCTTAACAGACCCAGACCATTTTCACTGAGATTGGAACCCCAGTTTAAGTCCTGGACCAGCCCGTTTCAACACGTTAACTCACGGAAAAGGCCAGGCGTGCTCATCACAAGCACAGGTTACTGAAAAGCCAGGATGAAACAGGAGACACCTCAACCACCGTGACACTCTGGGGCGTGGGGACACGTGCTGGCCTCTCAAAGCCGGGCACGGACAGAGCAGCTGCAGCCCACGTGCTCTGTGGGTGCCAAGCATTGCCCGGGTCGGGGGAACTGTGAGCCGACTGTCCCTGGATTCACCCCCAGGGGCCTTGGATGACAATCACTGGAGAAAACAAAACAACCCACAGCCAGAGCAGCACTGGCAGCTGCGGCCGACAAGCCCCGAGAAGTCACAGGTGGGGCTGGGGAGACAGAGCCACCACTTCCATCTTAAGCTTAGGAGTAAAAATATCGTTGCCTTTTACAATAAGGGTAAGGACACCCCGACCCAACCTAGTCAGCGCTCAACCTCCAGCCCGTCAGTGCAGGCGGAGGAACACGAGTCCGCACCTGTGCTTGTGCCCGCAACGTGCGTTTACCTCGGGACCACCAAGCTCCAGGGACCATGAGGTGAGGGGCCACGATGGAGAATGGGGAGGAGGGGCACAGTGGTCAGGCGCCAAGCTATACAGCCCCCCGCCGCGCCTGCAGCTGAACAGCCCACCCCGCACACCGCCTCTCCAGGAACCTGGGAGCCAAGCTCTGCAGAACCACCCTGTCTTGAAACATCCACCTGCTGCCTTCCCCGGCTTCGCAGTTCCCCTCCTGTCCCCGCCCGAGACCTTCCCTTCCCTGTTAGTCTGTTTGGCTCAAGAACATGGGGGACAAAACAGTACGCCTCTGGTGCCACTTTCAAAGGGTTCGCCTCCTGGCCAGCACGGGCTGATACAGAAACATGAAGCTGAAGTGTTTTTAAAAAATAATTTTAGAGGGACGGGTGCAGCTCAGTGGTGCTCAGAGTGCGTGCTTAGCATACGTGAGGTCCTGGGTTCAATCCCCAGCACCTCCATTAAAAAAATAATAACTCCAGTTCACTGAACGCAGTCTTCCCTTGTACCTCCACTCTGTACGCTCATTCTTCATTTACTATTTGTTCCTTATGCACCTGCGCCCCCCTCCACTCACTGCAGCTGCAGCCTGAGAGCAAAGTGGCCCGGTGGCCCCGCCTCCCAGCCTGGTGCGCCCTGGGCAGAGCCCTCTGAGGGGGAAAGGCTGCCAACCCCGCCGTCAAAACTGAGCCCATAACCTGCCTCCGCCTCCGCCCGCCCGGGGCCTTACTTCAAGTGGACCTCCGTGCACTGGCGCTGGGGGGCGAAGCATGCAATGGCCCACACCTTGATCTCGATGCCCGTGTGGAACTGCTTGTTCCTCATGTCCCAGACGCCCTGGACCGGTGTGGCAATCGCTTTGTTCTGCAAACAAAGTCAGAGTGAGAAGACAAAGGGAAACATTCCACTGATCTTGGATTTTGTCACCATCCCTACTGCTGAGGGTTCCCCGACCAGATGGGGGCTCCTGAGGCTGAGAACTGAACCTCCGGGCAGCCCGCCTCTGAGCTGCCCGCCTTGCAGGCCATCGGCAGAGGTCTGGATGGATGGAAGGGTGGAGGACAGAAAGAGGGATGGATGGGGTGAGGAGGTGGAGTGAGGAGGGCGGTGGGTGGTAAGATGAGCAGGTGGGGCCCAGAGCCCCATCCAACCTCACGGGCACCCGGAGGAGCAGAAGTGCTGTGTGACGCTCAGACAGCACCGTGTTTACTTCATCTCATTCACCACCACTGAGGCCGCCGGGAAGGGAGGGGAAGAGAAGTGCCCAGGGTGGTCAGGCCAGGCCAGCTAGGATGGAGCCTGCTGCCCTTGACCCTCCATGGCCCCCTGCAGCTGTCTAAGCTGCTCCCACTGGGAGGAGAAACAGCGGGTGATGCATCCACCTAACTTTGTTACTCTCAGCCAGAAAGGACCAGGTCCCAACACTGTCACCTAAGGAACCTCTGAACTGCCTTCAAGTGATTCTGCAGCACAGGGACGGTCAGGAAGGGCCATGTGGAGGTGGTCACCCTGGGCCAGTGGGTACCAGCAGAGTACAGGCTATGTCTGAGTCACTGCCACTCACTCTGCAGAAGTGGTTTTTCATGGAAGACACTGTCTGTCTTACTAAAGTGATAAAGCTCACTGTAAACATAAAACTTTAAAGAAACAAAAGTCCTTGTTCCCTGTATGGTTTGTACCACCACCCTCCCCCCACCGGCCCCCTTCCGTAAGAGACAGCCACCACCAACAGTCTAGTGTTCCGGACTCAGCAAGCAGACATACACAGACACACAGCGTTTCACAGCAAAGGACCCTTGCTCCCCGTGTCCTTCAGCCTCAGCCCCACGGACATCTGCCTGGAGGGCCGCTGCAGAGCTGTCCTGGGCGTGCACTGGGCGATGTGAGCAGTTCCTGCCCACCCGACCCCAGTCTCCAGACGTCTGTCCCCCCCACCCCTCCCCGGGGGCATCCAGTGTTTTGCTCTAACAGTGGACACCGGGCAGGGCAAGTGATGGAGAGGATTTGCTCCTACTGTTCCAGAAATCTGCAAATATTTGCTCCTTTAGCAGCATTAAAAGGTCTGAATCCTTACAACTCTAATATTTTTGCAAGGTTAGATTTACCAGGGCTATTTTGTTTTCCAGACCACTCCTGGTTTTAGATCAAAGTAGAAGGACATTGGGTTTGCAATGCTGGTTTGACCACACAAGGGCCATGTGAGTCTCACTACTTCCGGGCACCGCCTCACTGACTTGGAAGGGGAGTCACAGGCCCTCCCTCCTAGGGCGGCAGGGAGGGTACGAAGGGGCTGTGTCTGCAGGGTCTGGGCTCCCGGGTGCACAAGTGGGCTGAGAAGGAGCCAGGGGGACTTGTTCGGAAGGCCTCCTTCAGAGAACGAGGAGCAGTCGCCATGCCCGCTGACGGGGCGAGACACCCGCGCAAAGGAGCGCCCCGCGGGGCAGAAGCAACTGGCTGCACGTCACACACATTCCAAGGTCTCCATGAGACTAAGAGAAAAACAGTAAGTAAAGAAAAAAATCAAGGCACACAGTGTAGTTAATACGCTGCTATCTGCACAAGAAGGGGTGAAAAGATGCATGAATGATCCGAGGCAATTTTACAAAGGAGAACGCCTTCCTGCAGAACAGCCCACATGGGGAAAAAAGAGATTTTTTCCCTATAATTCTTTGTAACTTCTGAACCTTGAAAGATTTAAAAAAAGAACAGAACTCATATTTTAAAATAAGGAAGGAAATAACCCTACGAACAAAACGAAATTAAGCCTTGCTACAGGCTCCGGGGACCCAGCGCCACCAGGCGGAAAGTGCCAGGTCAGGAGGAACACAGGTCTCCCGCCAGTCTCGGTGAC